TCATCGGCAATCCCACTACCGAATGCGATATCGAAAAGGCCTAGGCCTTCTTGAAGTTCACTTCTCCTCGATGACCAAAAGGCACCCATGGTAGTGTGGCGTAGTGGTAAGGTTTCTAGATTATACCATGAATTATCTCAAGTTGTGTATGAGTCTTCGTCAGGGTGCTAATTTGGCCAGTTGAAGCAAGGTCAAAACTGTAGTTCAGTCTAGTCTGAAGGAGAAGACTCTTCGAAAAGCAAGGCTATGTGAAATTGAACTACCAGTCCTTCACCACCTTAAACGAAATAGGGTTAATACATCTCAGATAAACTATTACTTTAATATAGAAGATGAATCGGACAAATCAAAGAGTTACTAGCTCGTTTGGCTAACCTTACCAAATCCTACTCAAATAAAACCTTACCATTTATGCACACTCATGCTGCTCTCGCCTCCTAGAGCAGACTTATCCCATACTAAATTCACAATGAGTGGGTTTCGCTAGCATTGGTAGATTTGGAGCAAGTCACTCCAGGCAACATATGATTGTAAAGCATGCCATTCATCAGTGACTAAAGACCTACCACGACACCGGCCTCGTTCCACCACGTAACCGGCGCGGCATTGGTCGCACTGCTTGCCAGTGATTCCTGGATAGCAAGGACACTGGCCGGTCGCTTTATCACAGACAGAATGGTGTGAACCCTCCGGATTACAGTCACATGGTCTACAGGGGATCAGTGTCAACGGCTCGCCCGTGTAGCCCGGTTCGCAGTCGCTGCAGCGGAGGCCAATGTAGCCGGGTCGGCAGATGCAAACGTCCGGTTCCTGAGTGCAGCTAATAGCGAAACTGAAAGTGGGCAAATAAAAAAAGTACTTACTTTTAGAGACCACCAATAGATATAAGAGCTGTATGCACCTCACTTCAAGCAAGATGATGAAGGACAGGTAGTGGAATTCTCCCACAATCAAGTGAAAAGATCTTACGTTTCTACTAATTTATCCGGGATAAAGTTAACTGTAATCTGCATCCGTAGTGAGACAAGAATTTTGAAAGTGCATCATACAATCCAGACAAGTTAACCATTACGT